AATGAATGAATTGGTACATCTATAATATAATTTCTCCAACTGCTTTTCTGTGTCATGGAATTAGTCATGAAGTATTTTAGGCCAGACTTCGTGGGCGTTTGTTTTGATTTGATGGCTTCCTTTTGTTTGCCTTCATTTGAAGCGAGCAATTTTTATGATATAAAACGCGTTACAGTTTAACAGCATTCATTTTGAACGCCTTATTCTTGTTGTAGAGATCAATGTGCATTTTTAAACCATAGTGCCAAATTTGAAATATAAGTGAAAAAAAAACTAGTGGGGTGTATGGCATCGTGCCTTAAGACAATTGCTGGAACTTCCCGTACCGTAACGAAATGTTCGAGGAATACTGAATGTTTCAAATAGATTATTATTAATATTCTAACATTGTCTAATATTTATAAGAATTATATAAACTGAATTGCAAAGTTGAAATTATTTGTTTAAAGTATATTAGAACTATAGTCAGAATTAAATATAAAATCTGAATTATTTTCGATATACAAAAAAATTTTTTTTTGAAAAAAAAAAAAATTGGAACAAATTTGTTTTTCCAAAATCAATTATTTTGTTAAGACAAGCAGAAAGTTCTTTGAATCATTAAATCAGACGCTTAGTTCTATCAAAAACTGCCATTTTTTACATATTTAGCTCCATATCTTCGAAATGGCTGGGCCTGCCTTTGCCAAAAACTAATAAACACTTCTCCCAATCGTTACTAATTGAATGTTTTTAGATCATTCAAATTGGATACTCCGTTCTATCGAAAAGTCGATTTCTATTTTTTGCACTCTTTGCACGTATCTCCGAAACGGCTGGACCTGCCTTTGCCAAAAACTAATCAGCTCTTCTCCCTAGCAATAGCAATCTAATGTTTTTTGAACCATTCAAATCGGTTGATCCGTGCGCCAGAAAACGTGACTGGAAATTTGTATTCATACATACATACATACACACACACATCCATTTTTTCTGAGGTACGCCAAAATGTTCAGAAACCTTCAAAACGTCGAGAAATGTAAAAATTTTCAATTTCGATTTTCGACCCATTACAATAACTTACCCCTACGGGAAGTTAATTACAACCATTCTTACAATCTTGATAGCAATTATTTCAAAATTTTGCACTACAAGAAGCATAAATTTGAAAGATAGTTATTTTTCTTCCAAAAGCGATCAGAACTTAAAAATCATATAAGCTGGTAAGAAATTTTTTCTTAACTACGTGTTGACTTTCAATATGATGCTGGAGGGGGGGGGGAGAAGGCTTTTAAAAACATATTGCCATCTACATTTTGAAGTAAAAACCGATGTCACAACTACTTGACATCAGGCTGCCCGAGGCTGGTATCGAACCTGGAATTTCTGATTGGCGTCTCAAAGCTATAACCACTAAAGCCACTGAAAAGCTCTAGTTGCAGTCTTTAAATCGATAAAATGATGCATGCTCCTTTGAAGTAAATAGATGATTTTATTCTGTGTCTACATCCACCCGTTTGCCACAACTGATAGTCCAGATTGCAATGATTTTAACAGTGTTGCGCCGGTTGGCAACAATTTTAACAGTATCTACTATCTGGTCTTTTTCGGCGTTTCGTTTGTTGGTCCCCGTTAAACGCGCTTTACCGGGAATCGAGTCCGTTGCGACCGCCTCTCGAGCCTTCCGAGCCTTCCGAGCCTTCCGAGCCTCTCGCCAACGGAGACAAAAAGAGGAGACAAAGAGAATAGCGCGGCGATCGACTCGTACAGTCGTACGGTCGTACGCCGTCCCGTCTCACTGCGGAGGTCGACGCACCCGCGCCAACCTTGAATGTATCTGCTGCTCGTTCGACTTGTCTCTTTTATCTCCCGTACAACTGTACATATGTGATACTGTACTAGTGTTGTTGTTACCGAGATCTAAATATCAATGTTGCGAATGCGAATGCGAATTTTCAATTTTGACCCTCTGGATTCATAATACTATCCCGTAAGTAAGATAGATTCGTATATCGGCCTTTGCTTTCAATGTCAATGACAAAAAATGTTTGACAAGGTTCATGGCATTTTAAAGCATTTTTCAACAATGTAGTACACGATCAGGAAATATTTTTCAAAAAGCGCAACATTGAAGTTGTCGTATGAAAAACTAGTGAATCCTGGCATCGCGCCTTAAGGCAAATTGCTGAAACTTTCCGTATCTTAAGAGGCACAACTAGTGTGAAATTTTGAAAAAAATGATTTTTCATATTTCGGTAGATTACAGCTTTAAAAATAACATATTAAAATTTCAAATCGATATCTCAAATAGATTTTGAGTTACAACCATTTAAAAAGCATGCATATAGTATATAGTACAACGATCATTTTATCTTTAAACGCGTTTTTCTCGAAACAGCATTTTCCGAATTTGCTACAGTGATTACTCAAAAACGAATGATCCGATCACTATCATTTTTTTTTACATGTTTTGTATATAGTTCTCCGTAAAATGAACTATCGATTTTTTGATCGGATCAAAAATCGAAATTTGGCAGTCGAAAAACGACCAAAATTTTGGGTAAAATTCGACTTTTTTTTTGAAAAACGCCGCCATTTTGTCAATTTTTGATTTATTTTTTTTATCGTAGTTCATTTTACAGAAAATATTATCTAGTTTAACGAGATTTTTTTTTTATTTCATCCACGTAGAAGGCCGGAATCACTGCAGCAGTTAAGGGCCTTTTTTTTGTCGCGCCGTTGGAGATCGACGATAACTTAAAAACTATTTAATTTTTTTCTTCAAAAATTTTACTATGTATTCTTAAAACATGTATAAATATATTTCTTAAATTTTGTAATGATTGATGAAGTAGTTTTTTTAATATGAATTCCCAAAAATCACCTTTTTTCTAGGCGGATACACTAGTTGTGCCCCTTAATTTAAAATTATTAGAAGATTTACATTTCTTTAAAACTGAAAAAATTAAATTTTTGAGCAGCTTAATATTTTTTAACCAATTTTTGTGAAATTTTTGAAACTTATTCAAGTCGGTCGAACCATACTGTCAAATTATTGTACTTATTATTAAAATTCCTGTAAAATATTTGTTAATTTGATGTGTATATGTCTAATGATTATTTTTGGCTATTTTTTAAAACTTTATTTCCCAGATCTCCGAAACCTTTCCCAAAATTTAATCAATTATTCATTCCATCAATACAAATGAAATGTTTTTTTGAATCATTCAAATCGGAAGTTCGGTTTTTTCAAAAACTGAATAGCCATTTTTTGCACTTTTCGTCTATTATCATGCCCATATCTTAGAAGTGGCCAGGCCTTTGTCAAAAAATAATTAGCACGTCTCCCCATCAATAAAAATCGAATGTTCTTTCAATCATTCAAATCTGTTGATCCGTGCTCTCGAAATCGTTGATGAAAATTTGTGCCCGCACATAAATTTATATATAAAAAAACATCAATTTCGTTAAGGACCCCATAGTGATTATGCAAGAAAGCGTTCAATGTCCAAAGCTAATTTTGATTGGCACATCAAACGTAAATCCTAAATTCTTCATTCTGCTAATTTGTTGTTATGTTAAGAATATAGTTTTATTCAAAATTGTTGGTACTATCTTTTATAAGAATTATTTGAAGTTGATCTATCTGAGTGCAGCACTTCTAAACGACTATCACTTATAATGACTGTGATGCTCGCGAAACGCTTGCCACTGTTATTATCGACGCTTCTATTCTTCATCTGGCGGTCTAGATACCAGGTCAGCGACGGCGGACAACGACAGTTGCATCGGCCGATTCGCAAAAAATGTTAAAAATAAATAAAATTTAATCAAATCTATAAAAGAAAATCTATTGAATCAAATCTATCCAACTTATACGTCAATGCCACTCATACAGCAAGAGAGAAAGAGTAAGACGTTCATATTCACCATCATGTGAAATGAAAAATTATGTAATAAATATTTACTTTTACGATTTGTCTCAATTAATTGAATTGAGAAGCGGAATTGAATTACTTTTTCAAACGAAGCTCATTCGTCTCGCCCTTGTGACCATCGCTCTTTCGGTTAGGATAATATATGTGTAACATGCATTTAAAGTATATTTTCATGGATCGTTGGTATTTTGTCGACGACTGGTAGATTTTGATTTTAGATTAGAGTATTTCATATTTGTACTCTTTTTATTTTAAAAATTATTTGTTACAAAAACTTATAAATATGTAAAGCAATCTGCAACAACATTGTTAAGTGAAGAAGTTAAAAAAAAGCTCGGTGGTTTATAATTTCTTAAACGTTTGACTTTGCAAAAGTAATTAACCTCTGTTCATTTCACGTGGGGCATCTTTCATTTGTGTCGATGACGTTAATTATTTATAAACAACGCAAATTAATTTTATTTTTTAAACTTTTATGTTAATTCTTTATATATAATAAAACATGATTTAAAATTCATATTTACAATTTATTGAATCATTATTAATATAATAACAACTCGTTTACTTATTATATATCAATCCTTTTAAAATACATTTTAAAAATTATTTATAAATATCCTAAACGACTTTGTATTAGGTTAAAACACTAACTAATATTAATTTAAAATTTTTACAATTCAGCTTAAGTTTAATAATACACGATAAAATAATTTTAGTAAAACTTATTTAGAATTTGTACAATTTACTAGACTATCGATGGTTAAAACATATATAAAACAATTAAAATGTTGCTTTAGACACTAATAAAATGGAATAAATAAATCGCCGAACAATATTAAAACTACATGAGATGATCTATAAAAATTTACCATATTGCACAATTATTGACGCAATTATCAATAAATTCGCGAACCCAATTAAAAATTAATAGTGTATGATTCGTCATATATTTAAACCCAACTTAAAATAATTTAAAATGTTGCTTTAGATACTAATCAAATAAAATGGAATAAATAATTACCAAACGATATTAAAATTACATATGATAGAAGTTTTCTATATTGCACAATCATCCACGCGTTTCTTTATGAAATTTTTCGCAATTAAAAATTAATAGTAAATAATAAATAATATACATAAAACCCATATAAAATAATTTAAAATAATAAAATTACTCACCCAAGGCGCGCTATATTCAAATCTTACCGCCGATAATATACGCCCGCGCCATCCATCGATATTTCACAACCGTTGAGATCGTCGCAGCGCTAGGAATTACCGCCGCCGCCTCCGGAGTTACCGCTTGAACCGCCAGTCGAACCGCCGCCAGAGTTTCCATTGTTACCTGAGTTACCATTATTACCAGAGTTACCAGACGGATTCGCTGGTGGCACGAAAGGTGACCATCGTAGGCAAGATGGATCAATCTCTCGTACAGATCCGCGTCGTTTGACACGTTCTGCATATTCTTCGAGCACATCCTGAAAAAAGGTTACAGACTCATTAATATAAAAAAACTGAATAATAATATGCCATGTATTAACTTATAGCAAGATATCATTGAATAATTATTTCATGTATAAATTCGACCGCTTTAGGAGGACCGTGTTATAAACCGTGCTACAATTTTAAGCCTGTCTAGTATGGAAACCGCGTTCTAATAGTACAACGTTATCGGAGGGTTGACTGTATACACACAAGCTATACAGTAGTTCTATAATTCCAGAAGTCAAATTAAGTCAGTCAGGGGCAAATATGCGATGAATCTCATGTGCGAGAAATTGCTCGACGTCAAGTCAGCGAAATGATGTATATTAACAGGAAGCGCGAAAATTGATGACGTCAGAAAGCAAAATAACTTATGATGTGATCCTGTTGCTACTAAAACAAGTATTCATAACATATTCTAAACATACGTCGACATATGCCGTCAAACGTGTCACAATATTATCTTGTTACGCGTTGAGATATAGATCACGAAATTGTAGGATATTTACTGAGATGGTTCAGGTTCTATTTATTTATTCACTTGTGTCAAATATAAATATTCTACATCTCTCAGATAACTTCTATCAATGAAAAATTAATAAGTGTTTCTTTAATCTTACAAACTCTTCGACACTTTTATAAATAATAATAAATCTTATAATTTAACAACTGTTCATAGAAATTACTTCACAATCCCTGAAGTATAATAAATCCATTCTCATTGTTAGCTATTTTTATACCGAATCAATTTCTGAAAAAAATATATACTTACCAATTTTTTCAGAATTATATGTTTTCCTTTCCAATATTTCATCATTCCTAAAGCTTGTAGGGTACTGACAATATCATAACTATTGATGGCCATCTCTTGAGAAACATCTTTGACCGATAGAGTAGTTCCATCCCTCGAGCACAGATAAGCCAGAAGAACGTCTTTCCAATAAGACCGGTAAGATATCAATCCCAAATCTGATAGAGGCTTTTCAGGAGAACCAATTTTACCTTCCGTACGGGTAAGGAGGTAACCTGGAAGTATGATAAGATATTTGTTAGAGAAATGTATTAAAAGGATAAGCTCGGGATGCTTTCTCATCCTAAAACTAGTATCTACTTTTTTTCACTAATGCATACTTGTTTTTTTAGTTTAAACTAGCAAACCCGACGAACTCCGTTTCGCCACCAGATGGTTTCGTGAGAAAGATGAAGAAATTTTTTGTTTGTTTTATATTGGAAAAGGAAAAATTTGATTTTATTGCACAACAGTAATGAATTTATTTCGATTACAAAAATGAAGTGTTTTTTAGTTGAACTTCTCTAAGTAAATGAAAGTGAATCCGCATATTATCCGTTTCATGGAAGTGATCTTTGGTAAACCACATTTTTTGTTTTTTGGTCTGACGTTAACACAAACAAAGCGGATGGTTTTCCAACTCGTGAATAGGCAACGTATAACTGCCTATGTGAAAAATAATGATTTTCTAAATAATCTATTTGAAATTTATCCCGCAAACACTAAGCGATTGGCCTTGAGACTTGTTATTGCGAACGCAAGGCAAACTGGAAATTGCAATCGTTTGAAGTCAAACGGAAGACCAGTCGGAATCATTGGTATGTCACCAAATCGCCAGCAATTTTTGATTAAATGGTGAAATTCTGTGCGTGTACATTATTATTCTTTGCGGCAAGAATTGCTCGTTGACTTAACCAAGCATAATTCTGATAATTCTCACTAATGTCATTACTCGAATTTTTAAATACGGCGCGTAAAGTTCCAGCAGCTTGCATTAAGGCACGATGCCGTTCACAACTAATTTTCTTAGCTATAAACCTTGCGGAGCCCGAGACCTTTCCAACTAATACAAAATTGTCGAAATCGGTTCGTGCGTTCTCGAGTTATTTCGTCAGGAAGGAAAACCCGACTAATTTTTATATATATAGGGATACAGATGTAAATAAAAGATACGACTAATTGCATTTCAACATAATTAACTGTTTGGTTAATATTGGCTAAAGCGATTATCATTTATATCCAGCAGATCAATTACCCCGGTGTTGATTTGTTAAGCATCGTCTTCTGCTAAGCAGAACGTATAAGATCGGATGGCGAGAGAAAAGTCGCCAGAATAACAAAGTACCGTTCTATTATTCACATCGTCGCCGTTGTACAATTTGCTGGCGGTACGCGACACATTCGAAGAGAGCTCCCAAAGCCGAGAGCGCTGAGCCGTTCACGTGGAGTGCGGGGTCGCACTCGCAACCGTCTGGCTTGCCGCGCTCGCTCGTTCGGCTCGTTCGCTCGCTCTAGACACAAATCAATATAGCGCCGCCGACGCCGACGAGGGATGGATGCACATTTATATCAATTTGATGCGATAAATCAGTGACTTAAAAATTTTGCCAATGAATTGATCACCCTGACGCACAAATTTTACATATACTGCTGCGATTCGTTTTAGTAAATTGAAACGAATGATTGAGATTTGAAATTGTCTGAATGATTACTTATAAGGGATGAAAATTTGTTTGAAAGTATTAAATTATTGTCATCTATTGTAAAAAGATATATAGAATATATTAAATAATTATCAAAAGCTAGAATTTTATACATAGCACGACTAATTGTAAGCCATGCAGTACCTACAGAAGCAAATATTATGTAAAATTGATACGTAATTACAATAATTGATACGTAATACGTAGATTTTATATTAGTTTGTTAGCAATATTAGTTCAATGTACTAGTTGTAAGTAGCATTTTGTCTTAAGGCAAGTCGCATTAACTTCCAGAGCGTACACGTTATCAACAATCTATACGAATAAAATATTCGCTTTCCACTAGAAAATAATCAATACGATTTCCAATTGAAGTCTCTTAAACATACTTATAATCACTGTATTTGTATAAATTAAATAAATTTCTTTGAAACTATTTCGTGCTTTACAAATGTTATTTAAGTATGGACGTCAACTGTAATCAATAGCTACACATACAAAACAAGGAACGTGCATATGATTCGGCATAGATTCTAATTAGAATCGCTCAAACGCGAGACGAAATTCTAAACTTTGATGAATTTTTATAACTCAACCGTTTGGAATCGTTCAAGTTTTACGTAAGCAGATTTATTGCAATTATTAACCCCCCCCTCCCCTTTGTCAGCAAAAGTAAGCAAATTTCTTACCCAAAATAAGCAAATAAATAACCCCGCCTCTCTATAGTGCTTACGTAATACTTGAACAGCCCCTTTATCGTAGGCCTATAATATTTTATTATGTTATTTCAGACTAAGAAATCTATCGTTGTACAAAGTTTCATCAAAATTACCCCAAAAAATGTTTTTAAGAATAAATATGAAGTAACTTCCCGGCCGATGTTTACCAAAAACTAATCAACGTAATTCCCAACCAATATCTGTCGAACAGTTTTTGAATATATAGCAAAAAAAAATTAAATCGATTCAAGATTATGAACTAAAACGTAGACCAAAGATTCTACACTTTTCTGCTAATTACAAAGAAATGGTCTGAAAACTGATAAACGCTAATCCTTTTAACATCGGTTCAGCCGTTTTTGAGAAAAAGTCAATGAAAGGTCAAAAATAGGATCACATACATACATACTTTTCCCAAATTTGTTATCAATGGATTCAGAATGACTTGGAACGTCGAAAAAGCACTATAATTTTTCGCATAAACATAAACTACCCCTTATGGAAAATGTGACCAATTATTTCAAATTAATTGTGAACTGAAACAATGTGTTTGGTATTGATATTTAGATTCTATATCCGATCAAATGCTTTCATAAAAATGTCCTATTTCTACTATATACTCGTATACTGCGATTTTCAAAAATGAAAATTATTAATCTTCTTTTACTCAGCCCCGTTATACGGCATGGCGACCAGACGAGGTACTTATACTGCGGCACCGAGCCATCGAGTCGCTCCGGCTTTGCAGTAGGCAAGCAGCAAGGGCGGGCGAAACGCGGCACACGAAATACGAAACGCGGGGCGGCCTGCGGGAGGTTTCCGACAACGAGAGGAATGAGATTTCGGCTGTTCGCTCTCTTGTAGCTACAATGTTTTGAACCGACGCGGCGTAACGCGCGAAGCCCAAAGCGCGACGCTACGCGTAGACTCAACCGTCGAAAAGTTGCGGTAGGTCGCTACACTTATGCGGAGCATGTTGTACTGTACCACATGCAATTGGGATAGCCAAAATTTAACTGACAAAGAAAAATAATACTCAATCATACTGAAAAGAACTAGTGGTGTATGGCATCGTGCCAAAGTTAAAATTTTATTCAAATATACTAATAAGTATAAGTCTTTACTCGTTACTCTTAACATTTTATTCTATTTAGTTTTAAGAGTGTACATAATTTGTTAACTAGTTTTAAGAAATACTAACACAATGAAGTATGTTTTTTAAGCTATTTTCATACTAACCCAAATAAGTGCATCAATTTAAGCAAATAGACCTAAGTACATATATAAAATTTTCATAATAAATTGTAATAATGCAACAAGGCAGGCGTACAATTAAAAAATATCACATGTGACATACAACTATTTTAATATGTAAACAAATTTAAGATAAATAAAGAGTTTCGTGCCTCAAGGCGAATTGCAAGAATTTTGCAAAAATTATTCATTGTAAATATACATTTGTTAAAAATCATCAGAATATATACATATCAGAATATATACATATCAGATAATTTTTGTACTGAAGGAGCTTGCTTAACAATTTTGCGTTGTCACGTCAATTTTTTTGTTATATTAGTTAATTCCTTATTAAAATTTGTAAAAATAATACACCATCTCTTCTATTACTTTTTAACATTTAATAATTTAAAATTTTTCTAAATGTGCACTGAAAGCTCACATAATAATCAATTCCCGACCGGTTAGCAAGCAATCAATAAAACACGGTCCATACATTTTCTCAGTTTAACAAGCGAGCAATTAAACAAATTATTCTTACATTAGCTGTATTGATTGCAGTTTAAGTGCCCACTTTGATAATATTGCGCTTTAAGTTGCAAAGAAGAGTTGCAAAAAGTATTATTTTTAATGAGAATATATTCTCTCACTTAGAAATTCTGTATGATGTTTTACCAATAAATCTCCGTGGCCGTCTAAGAGCTCATTAAAATAAATCTTCTCACAATCTATTGAATTTATCATTTTATGAATATAAATTATATAAAGGCAGTAATACTTTTAAAGTCATATTTATCATATGCTACAGCATGCTTGTAAAAAACCTTTTCATAAAAAACATAAATCTCGTAGATATAAAAACTTACAACACTATATGATAATAGGTAAGTTTGATATAAATTGCTTTACTTTTGTATTTTATTGCGACAAAGTAATGAGTGTAATAGACGGTTTCTGAAGAAAATCATTTCCAATTATAATGAATGGAAATGTTAATGAACAATGCTGTTTCAAATATTTCTATGATAATTTCCACGAGCTTCGAAACGGATTTTCCAATGTGTCTCGTATGAATTGATCAGTTCGTTTAAAATCATAAACAAAACAAATAAAAAAAGTCAGTCCGTTTGTAAATTCAAAAAGCGCTAGAGCATGTAACTGCCAGACGTAGGGCGGTCGATGCTGGCAGACTGGAGCTACGCGTAGCGGCGTAGCAGGCTCTCATACGCCGGATGAGAGCAAACGAGAAAGATGAGGCTCCCACATATAACCAGGGGTTAATCCAGGGATGGAATGAATTTAATGTCTGGCTGTCGTGCCTTCCAGTGTTTGTTTTATAAATCTCATAAAAAGTCACTTAAGGTAGTTTGGAATACAAAATTGAATACTCGAATGGGACGAAAAAATCCATCCTTCTATATACTTTAGGTAATGAAAAAATGACAAAATAAAGTTAAAATATTAAATTAAATTTAGAATGGCATGAAGATCTGAATTGTAAAAGGACACATAATGCCTATAGTCATGTTTGGAATAGCGATAAGTAGTCAAATTACGAAAAAAATATAGACAACATTC